TCTCTAAGGGTAAGGAAGGGGTTGAATTTGAAAATTGCAAAGAAACGACTGATTCACCACCAGCACTTCCATTTCCTCAAGCCATGACCAAACAAAGGAAAGTCAATCACAACTCTGAAATCTTTGAAATTTTTAAACAGGTAAGGATCAATATACCTTTGCTGGATGCTATTAAACAGGTTCCTTCTTATGCTAAATTTTTGAAAGATCTATGCACTGTGAAGAGGAAGCTGAATGTGAAAAAGAAAGCCTTTCTAGCCGAACAAGTAAGTGCTATTCTTCAGAACAATAATGCTTTGAAATATAAAGACCCTGGTTGTCTTACAATTTCTTGCTTTATTGGAGAACATAAAATTGAAAAAGCCTTACTTGATCTTGGTGCTAGTGTGAATCTACTTCCATATTCAGTTTTTCAGAGTCTCAATCTAGGTGAGTTAAAACCAACTTCTATATCTCTTTTACTTGCCGATAGATCTATAAAAGTGCCTAGAGGAATAATTGAAGATGTGTTTGTACAAGTCGATAAATTCATTTATCCTGTGGATTTTATTGTTTTGGACACAGAACCTGTTGAAGCATGTAATTCATTTCCTGTTATTTTAGGACGTCCGTTTCTTGCAACCTCTAACGCATTGATTAATTGTAGGAATGGACTGATGAGGCTATCATTTGGAAACATGACATTGGATATGAATATTTTCAACATTTGCAAGCAACCTGGAGATGATAATGATTTACAAGAAGTAGATCATATTGACGAATTAGTTTATGATCAACTTGAATTTACTTTAAGTAAAAATGAGTTGGATGAATCTGAAGATTTGCAAATGATTTATTCTAAGGAAGAAATCACGGATGAAATAATCACCGAAAATGTTGATGTGAATCTTTTGTCAACAGTGACAACAGATTCGACATCTGGCATCACACCAATCGATGATTACTTTCCTAACGAATCCTTACTTTCTCTTAGTCCAATGCCTTGGTATGATAAAAATATCAATTTTCTTGCTTTAGGAGATTTGCCAACTGATTGGAGTACTCAAAACAAAGAAAAGTTTTTGAACGAAGTGAAGAGCTTTTATTATGATGACCCTAACTTATTCAAATATTGTCCTGATCAAATATTTCAAAGATCCATTCCCGACAATGAGGTAAGTAGTGTCATTAAACTTTGTCATTTTGAAGCATGTGGAAGTTATTTCTCGTCAAAAAAGACAGCTACAAAAATCTTTCAAAATGGATTTTATTGGCCCACCATGTTCAAGGACACACATGCATTCTGCAAAACTTGTGAAAATTGTCAAAAAATTGACACTGGTCAAAAAGTTTTGTTTTATGATTCTCAACTCTATGCATTCCCTAAAGAGCTAAGATTAAGATGGACCAATCCTTATGGGGCCTGTGATATTGAGAATTCAATGAATGACAATGATTTTAAGGAAAATGGACATCGTTTGAAAGCTTACTTTGATAATTTTCTTAATGAAAATGAATCAGCTGGTTTGAATGATCTTGTAGATAAAGGTTGATTATTTTGTTTTTCTCACATTTTCTTTTTTGTGTTTCTTTTTTAGTGATTTTTGCTAGTTTCTCTCACCCCGGTCAAATGGCGGACAACGATACTCCGTGACTTAAGTCGGTTCTTTCAGTTTCCCACAATAACTGATATTTGTGGATATATTTGTGCAATTCTTTGAAGCTCTCTTCTAATTCTCATTTGAAAATGGACACTAATCTTGAAAAATTCAGAGAGTTCTATCCAGCTTTACCTAAGAAAGCGATTACAAAAATTTACCGTGCTAGATGTGCCAGATTGAGATTGTTAATGAATCATGGAATTCCTGAAGATATTCGCTGGTTGATTGAAGCAAAGGTCCGATTATCAGGTGAGTCCTCTAATTTCTTTATTTCACACATGCCTGGAATAGGTAAAAGCACTTTTGCAAAGAAACGTTGTGCAAAACGACTGGATGTTTGTCATCGATGTGCTAGATGGACTTGTAATACACAATGTCGTTCTTTAGGAATGGTATCTATAAACCGTGAAGATAAAATACAATTCATTAAGGATGGCCTGAGTAAGGAGTCTTTAGATAATCTTCTATTGACTCTTGAGACGCATCCTAGTGGAGATGTGCATCGTGCAATTCATGATTTATGGCCACTATTTCATAAAGAACATGATCGACTTAGTCTTGGGAATCTTACTAAAAAAGACCCTGTTTGCCAGTTTTTAAGAAAACTGGATGGGAAGCCTATCCCCGACCCATAGAGGGCGTTTAAGCCGTTCTTGGACGTAAAACCAAGGGAAGATGTGAGCCACAATCACAACTACGATACACATGCTTTTTTTTTTCAAAAGTAAATAAATAAATAAATAAAGAGAGAGAGAGAGTGTGTGAGACTCCAGCTGGCCTACATATAGGTGTTATGATTGCCTTTCTCATTTCTCATCTATAAAACCCTCTCTTCCTTCCTTTCATTTCTACTCAACCCATACATTCAACAAATACAAAAGTGTGTAGAAATGGCAAGTTCCTCAAGTCATCAAATAAGAAATATTTGTGTTTTCGGTGGATCTAGTCCTAGGAAAGAAAAGGAGTTTTTAGAATCAGCAAATCATCTTGGTCAGGTGCTAGCTGAGAGAAAGATTCATTTAGTATATGGGGGAGGCGGTCTTGGGTTAATGGGAGGTGTGTCAATAGCTGCATTTTTAGGAGGTAGTCAAGTTTTAGGAATCGTCCCTGAAGCTTTGGCACAAGGGGACATCATTGGAAAAACAATTGGAGAGGAACTTCAGGTCTCCACAATGTCGGCTCGAATGAATGCAATGTTTAACCATGCTGATGCTTTCATTTCTTTACCAGGTGGTCTAGGCACATTGGAAGAGATCTTTCATATTTCCTCTTGGGCTCAATTGCACATTCACCATAAACCCATAGGTTTGTTAAATGTTAATGGTTATTATGATAAGTTGTCGTCTTTTCTTGATCATGCTGTGGAACAGGAATTTTTAACATCTTCTGCACGACAAATCATAATCTCTGCTACTACTGCTGAACAATTGATTGACCAACTACAATCTTTCATTCCTGTGATTGATCCTTCCATGAGTCGCATAAATTGGTCATCTAAGGAAAGCCGTAAAAAGCTTAGATTGGGTTTGAGCCTTCATTTGTGAATTTTTGTGTCTTTTGGTTTTATTATTATGTTTTGTTATTTCTTATTTTTGTTTCAGTGTGTTTCAGGTTTTGTTAGTGTTCGTTATTTCAGGTGATATCTTTTATACTCTATCTTTCTACCTTAGAACATTGAGGACAATGTCTCGTTTTGGTTGGGGGGAGAGGGTAGTAGTTGATAAAAAAAAAAATTGTTTTTCCTTTCATAAAGCATGTGCATAATTGTTGTTACTAGGATGGCAGAGTAAAGGAGTTCTTTTGTTAACATATGATTATGGGTTGCATATTGGATTATTACATTATTTATGTTCTTTTGTTAAAGGTAACAACTAAGGGAGGGATTGTATATAATTAAAAAAAAAAACATGAAAAAAAAAGAAAGAAAAAAAAAGAAAAAAAGAAAATAAAAGAAAATAAAAAAAATGATGATAATAAAAATGTAGATAAGTTTGGTTTCGTAGCCTTCCTAACCTAAGCAATTAAGCCCGAAGGGGTGTTTTAACACCTAATACCCTAAATTCAACTGACTTGGGAGCTTTTGGCCCAACGCTTGTTACATGGGTTGAGGAGAAAAGCTTAAGGGAATCAAACATTGCACTATCTACATATCAGTATCTGCGACCCGAGTTACTAAGCTCGTAGGGGTGTCTTAACACCTAATGCCCTAAGACCAACTGGTTTGGGAGTCATTAGCTGAAAGCTCGTTACATGGGTTAAAGATGCATGATGTTTTTTAAATTATATGTATATAGAGTTAAAAAAAAAAAGCAAAAAAAAAAAAGAAAAAAAAGAAAAAAATAATAATCCCAACCCAAGGAAGTTAACCTTAAACATTAGAACAAAAATTTTGTTTTCTTCCAAGAAAAGCCCCATAATTATGTGTTGATACAAACCACACAAAAAAAAGGTTTATTAATATCTTGTTAAGAGGTATTGAGCATATATATAAATTTAATGAGAGTTTGTTTATCTGGAGGGATTAAAGGAAGTTAAATGATGAATACCTTGCTTTGTGAAATTTGCAAATTTATTTTCTATTTTAACGCTTTGATTACTAGGGACTAGTAATAAGCTGGTTGGGGGGTGTGATTAGTACTTAAAAGTGCATTTTTATCATGGTTTTATATCATCATTTAGTATTTGAATAATTATTAACTCAACTAAAATATGTTTTATAATAATGTATCTAATAATATACGATACCTTATGTTTGTGGTAAATGTTTATTTTTAATGCAGGCCTATCACATAAATGAAAGGCTTGATGGATGATTTGAAGAACTTAACTTGCAAGGATAAAGAGATGGCCAAACTTAGAAAAGAGATGTCGGTGCAATCCAAACCGGAACACTGTTCGGTAATTGGGTTATATCTGGAGCTACAGATCTCAGATTTAGGTCCAATTTATATGGATGGAAAGGTAAGACATAGGTCTACAACTTTCATATGGAGCCCAAGATCTAAAAAGGCCATTATCAAGTCAAAATTGTAGCAACAACAAAGAAGCCCGAATCTGTCTTCCAGCCCGAGCACTGTTCGGTATTTTGGCCATATCTGGAGTTCTAGAAGTCCAAATGAGCTGAATTTTTTAATAATAATCATGCATAGCAATAACTAACATTCAACTAATCAGTAGCCATTCAACTCATAAAAAACCATCAAATCCGTGAATATACAATATCCAATTCAAGGCTGAAAAAGTAAACTAAACACAAAGTTTTGCAGCCATTCAAACAAGGCTAAAGAAGTCAACATGAAACCTAAAATTACAGCCCGAACATTTTTTTTTTCTCATTTTTTTGGGAACTTGGTTGCAAACCTTTTCTCTTCCCACTACTACTAGTGGGATTGCTTGTGCTATTGGTAAAAGTGACTCCAGCAACCATATTATTGATATTGACAATAAAATTTAGTACACTATCCTCTTCAGAATCTCCACTACCTTCCTCAAGATGAGGGTCCTCATTAACTGCGATAGTTTGCCTTTGACCTACACCATCTTCATCAGAATTCAGACCCTGTGATGGAGCCCACGCATATTGACCGATAGCAATAGTGTTTGTAAACATGATATCATATTTACAACACAATGTTGGATCGATGCCAGCATGCCTAAACTTTTTTGCTCCACGTATCTCCTACAACAAGGGACAATCAAGGAAAAAAATTCATAAAAAATAATGTAAAAGCATTCAATCAAACAATTTATTACAGCTTTAAACATACCAAAAAAACAGACCTGACTTTTAGTTTTCCACCATTCATTAAGTGCTGAAATTGTTCCAAGTTCAGTACTCCATCCTACTCCTGTTTCAGAAATCAACCTTTTCCATATTCTCCAATCTTTTTTAATTCCATCCCACTTATTCTTTAATTGTGCTTTCGTTAATGCATGACTAGTTTGATCTTTAAAGTAATTCATAACATATTTCAACCTAACTTTGTTGAAATGTGTGTTGGGTCGCATACCTTGCTCAATTGCTTTAATACATATATCACAAAAAGCATGCAACATCTCTCTAGTCCAACAAGCCTTATCTTGTGATTGAGAATCGTCCATGTTCTTGGTTAAAATATTTTATCTAATATACAATTAACAAGTTAATTTCCTAGAGGCGATGTTAAGGACATGGAATGCACAATCTATCTTAATTAAATCACTAACTTAAATATAACATGCAATTTGAGAACATAGACTTAACATAATCAGCTTAACACTTTAATTGCTAGGTTTATTTCCATTAATGTTTCTACAAGCCAATGTTTTCATTTCATAAGCATAAACTGCTAATTATGTAATATTACATTAGATGCTGAGATTTCTTAGATAAAATTTATTTCCATTAATTACATAAGCAGACGTTATATAGAGCAGATAATAAAATTTATTTTAGTTGCTTGATATTGACACAGGTTTTATGTGTATACCCATTCAACTAAGATAATAAAACTAACAATTAAACACATGTAAAGCACAACAACTGACACTGATGGTGATTGTTGAACCGAAACAAAGATTAAAAATCTAACAATAACACAACTGTTAAAACCTGGAAATTCACAGAAAATGTTCAACTAAACAACAAAATGTTCAATTGAAACATAATAAAGTAGATAATTGGCTTCATTCCCATTTTCAGTAGCTTGTTATTGACACCGGTTTTAAGTTTATACCACTTCAACTAAGATAATGAAACTAACAATTAAACACATGTAAAGCACAATAACTAACACTGATGGTAAGTGTTGAACCAAAACAGAGAGTAAAAATCTAACAATAACACAACTGTAAAACATGGAAATTCTAAAAAAATGTTCAATTAAACAAAAAAGTGTTCAACCAAAACATACATAATAAAATGTAACAATTATAGACATGTTAATACTCAGAAAACACACAACAACTAAAAATTAAAGAGTAAAGTAATTATGCAACCAAAAAAGAGCAACTAACTTTGAATTTACTTATGTAACTAAGATAGAGATTGGGAAGATGCTTGTGCTTGAGCTTTCCTAGAGATTGATTTCGATGCCTTCTTTAGTTCTGGCAACGAAAACATAGTGAAGAGAAAATTATAGTTAGAGAAAGCCATTTGTTTTAGCAGATAAGGGATGATATATACATTTTTTAGGTATAATGCCAAGAAAATTACCTTGGTGAGTGCGTGTCTTCTTCAACCGTGAAAGGAGTTCATCATGGCAGCAGATCAGTGGCAGATGGGCTTGATCTACACTTGACTAACATTTGTGACTGGGTTTGGTTGTTATGAGAGAATGGAAGAGTTTGTGTGGGTGTGTTTGACATAACGAAACACGAGGAGGACAGTTTTTTGGAGATGAGGGAAGTTGTGGACAAGGAGAGCTCATATGCTTGGAGGCAAATATGAAGGAGGACAGACGACACACAAGGAGGAGGATAGATTTTTAAAGACGAGGGAAGCTGTGGAGGAGGAGTGATTAGTACTTAAAAGTGCATTTTTATTATGGTTTTATATCATCATTTTGCACTTGAAGTATCAATAACTCCTTAACTAAAGCATGTTTTATAAGAATATATCTAATAATATAAGATACCTTTAATTTGTGGTAAATGTTCATTTTAAATGCAGGCCTATCACATAAATGAAAGGATTGATTGATGACTTTACGAACTTAAATTGCAAGGGCAAAGAGATGACCAAAATTAGAAAAGAGATGTCGGTGCAATCCAAACCGGAACACTATTCGGTAATTGGGTCATATCTAGAGCTACAGATCTCAGATTTAGGTATACTTTATATGGATGGAAAGGTAAGACGTAGGCCTACAACTTTCATAGGAGCCCAACATCTAAAAAGGCCATTTTCAAGTCCAAATTATTGCAACAACAAAGAAGCCCGAAGTTGTCCTCTAGCCCGAGCACTATTCAGTATTTTGGCCATATCTGGAGTTCTAGAAGTCCAAATGAGCTGAAGTTTTTACACAAGAAAGCTGAGACAATTGCTTACAACTTTCATGTTTCAAGGGGCTCCAATTTTGACGTTATCAATGACGTTTTAGGCAGACAAGAGAAGATAAGGATTGTCATCAAGTCAAGAGTTGGCCACCCACTCATCAATTAGTCATCAAATCAATAGTTTCCAATTTTGGCCTATAAAAGGAGGCATTTGCCATGCATTTAGGCATCTTGTTTTCCAGATCAAGATCATGCTCTTCCTTTCTCTCTTTGTATTTTTTGTAATGTTTATGCTTTACTTTCATTAATATCAAGTTTATGCCTTTCATTTCCTTGCATTTACTTAGTTAACTTTAATCTTATTTATGTTCTTATTTTGTTTATTTATTTTTCTTTCTTTTATTATGTCTAGCTAAGTTTATTATGTCAAGGTGAAAAGGTTACACTAATGGTGTAAGAATAAGTATAGTGTAAACTCAAAATGGACTTTAATGTTTGATACTAACTCTTCCTCCTTCTTTTGCTTTCTTCTTCTTTTTTATTTTATTCCTACACGTGCATGAGAGTGTGGTCACGTACATCAAGTGGTAGACTTTGTAGGGTATCCTCATCATTTTCAGAAAATATGGCCGAAGAAGATAATCAATCACTTCATAATGAGAATAATGAGAATAACCGTGCTAGAACACTTAGAGACCACATGAATCCCACAAGAACAAGTGCACCATCATGCATAGTTTTTCCTCCTGATGCATCTCATTTTAATTTTAAACCAGGTATTATTCAACTTTTACCTTCTTTTCATGGTTTGGAATTGGAAAATCCATACTTGCATTTAAGGGAATTTGAGGAGGTGTGCAACACATATAATAATTTAAATTGTAGCATGAACACCATCAGATTAAAGCTTTTTCCTTTTTCATTAAAAGATAAAGCTAAAACATGGCTACAAAATTTAAGACCAGGATCCATTCGTGCTTGGGATGAAATGCAACAACAGTTTTTAAAGAAGTTTTTTCCATCTCATAGAACAAACTCTTTCAAAAGACAAATCACTACTTTCACTCAAAAACCAGGAGAAACATTTTACCAATGTTGGGATAGGTATCGAGACTTGCTTAGTACTTGCCCTCATCATGGTTTTGAAACATGGAGATTGGTTTCACATTTCTATGAAGGGTTAACACCTAAAGATAGGCAAATGGTTGAATTGATGTGCAATGGAACTTTTGAAGATAAAGACCCTGATGAAGCAATGGAGTACTTAGACTTGTTAGCTGAAAATGCTCAAAATTGGGACACCGCGGGTACTTATGAGGCACCGAGTAAAACTCAACCTCATACATCTAGTGGAGGTATGTACAACCTTAGGGAAGATCATGACCTTCAAGCCAAGTTTGCATCTTTAGCTAGAAAAGTCGAGGCACTAGAATTGAAAAAGAGTGGTCAATTAAAATCTGTTGAAAACATTGTGTGTCAAATCTGTGAAACAAATGAACACTCAACCAACGATTGTCTAACCTTGCCTTCTTTTAAGGAATGTCTCCATGAACAAGCCCATGCTTTAAATAGTTTCCAAAGGGCCAACCACAACCCATACTCCCAAACATACAACCCTGGTTGGAGAAATCACCCAAATTTCAGTTGGAAGAGTGAGAACAACAATGCACAAACTTCACAACCACCGTTTCAAGCACACCACAATTTCCAAAATTCTCATAGATATGCACCACCTTATGTTCCACCTTCTAGAAGAAATCTTGAGGAAATATTGCATGCATTCATTGGAAAGCAAGAGACAATCAATACTCAGCTTACTCAAAACATGACAGATTTTAAAGATACTCTTGCAAAATTAACATCTGCTCTCAGTTTCCAAGAGAAAGGTAAGTTTCCATCTCAACTACAATAAAATATCAAAGGGCAATACAATGCAAATGCAAGTAGTTCCGGACGCCAATACATGGATCAAGTCAAATCAGTCACTACTCTGCGCAGTGGTAAGGTTATTGAAAAACCCTCTCTTGAACCTTATGAGAAAGATGATGAGTCAATCTCTGAGGGTAAGGAAGGGGTTGAATCTGAAAATTGCAAAGAAACGACTGATTCACCGCCAGCACTTCCATTTCCTCAAGCCATGACCAAACAAAGGAAAGTCAATCACAATTCTGAAATTTATGAAATTTTCAAACAGGTAAGGATCAATATACCTTTGCTGGATGCTATTAAACAGGTTCCTTCCTATGCTAAATTTTTGAAAGATCTATGCACTGTGAAGAGGAAACTGAATGTGAAAAAGAAAGCCTTTCTAGCTGAACAAGTAAGTGCTATTCTTCAAAACAATAATGCTTTGAAATATAAAGACCCTGGTTGTCCTACAATTTCTTGCTTTATTAGAGAGCATAAAATTGAAAGAGCCTTACTTGATCTCGGTGCTAGTGTGAATTTACTTCTATATTCAGTTTTTTAGAGTCTCAATCTAGGTGAGTTAAAACCAACTTCTATAATTCTTTTACTTGCCGATAGATCTATAAAAGTGCCTAGAGGAATAATTGAAGATGTGTTAGTACAAGTCGATAAATTCATTTATCTTGTGGATTTTATTGTCTTGGACACACAACCTGTTGAAGTATGTAATTCATTTCCTGTTATTTTAGGACGTCCATTTCTTGCAACTTCTAATGCATTGATTAATTGGAGGAATGGACTGATGAAGCTATCATTTGGAAACATGACATTGGAGATGAATATTTTCAACATTTGCAAGCACCTTAGAGATGATAATGATTTACAAGAAGTAAATCATATTGATGAATTAGTTTATGATCAACTTGAATCTACTTTAAGTAAAAATGAATTGGATGAATCTAAAGATTTGCAAATGATTTATTCTAAGGAAGAAATCACGGATGAAAAACGCACAGAAAATGTTGATGCGAATCTTTTGTCAACAGTGACAATAGATTCGATATCTGACATCACACCAATCGATGATTACTTTCCTAACGAATCCTTACTTTCTCTTAGTCCAATGCCTTGGTATGATAAAAATATTAATTTTCTTGCTTTAGGAGATTTGCCAGCTGATTGGAGTACTCAAGACAAAGAAAAGTTTTTGAACGAAG